ACGTCATCAAAATTACTCGTAAAATTTAATCACATGAATTTAATTTGCATTTGATTAAGTGATTTTTCTTCTTATTTAATTTAAATTCAATTATTTTAACAATTTTCTGTATGCTTAATTATGAACATTTAATGTTTTGTAGAAATTAAAAGTTGTCAATTTTTTAATTTCTTCGAAATCACAACATCTTATTTATATTAAACAAAGTATCAAAATCTATTGCTAAAATGAAAGTACGCTAAAAATGACCGAACGAAATTAGTCCAAAAGTGTTAAAATTTAAGCAAATCAAAAGTGCCAAAATGAAAGTTTCTCATCAATTCATATCTATCCAACATTCATTTCACAAGTTTAATTCACTTCAAATGTTGCTTATTGCTTGCTATTTTGTTTAATTTCGCATATATGATTAATTTTATTCATTTAATATCCTTATCCTTCCTCTTATCATCATTGCCTCCAACTTTCTAATATGTCAATATACGTCATCCAAGTATTTTGATGTATGTTCGTGATTTGATAAAATAACTGATAAGAATATAACTTAATTTGTTGCTATTGGAATTTTAAACTAGCCTTTTCTAGCAAACAATTGATTAATTTGTTTTGTAACTAAAATCACTTTTATTCCTTTTTTGTAAATTGCATCGAAATATTTTAAAGTTTGACAAAAAATTAAATGATTTTTTTTTTTGCATAGTCATTAACAAGTATGTGAGAAGTTAAGTTGTAATCTAAAAGCAATTGAAATTGAAAGCTCTCAATTAATGAACGGGAGTGAAATGGTAGAGAGAATTTAAGAGTGACCAATATAATTGGAACAAATGAAATAGGCTAAAAATCAATACTGTTAATAGATTATCATTTCTAAATTTAATTATATTTTAAACCAATAATTAAAGTATTCAAAGCATGTAAGTTAGAATAAGTGAGAGTTTATTTTGTTTTTTAAATTAATTAACATTTAACATGTTTTTATCGATAACAATTTTATTTTCATCTGTTTAACGTTAATTGTAATTTTTATAATTAACTTAAAAAAAAGCTAAAAATTTCCAATCAATGCTTAAGCTAAGTTATCAATTTAATGATAAGACTTGAATAGAAAATGATAATCACTAATTGTTAAATTGCAATCTTTCGAGGTTTTTGTATGACAATAAATGTAAATAGGTGTAAATAATAAAATAATAAAATGGTAAAATGATAAAATTTTCGTTCTACTTTAAGGTATGAATAAATTGAAAGTATTAAGCAACGAAAAAACATGCAAATGATGAAAACTGATATTAATGCATATGATGAAAACTGATATTAATGCATTTCTTTTTGGTGATAAAAATTATTATAGTTTTATTAAATTAAATTTTACAAATTAAATTTTATAAAATAGTGAATTTTAATTCGATAAAATCAAAATTTTTATTCGATATTTTTCATTATCCTTTAAAATTACCCATCTGAACACATAAACATACAGTAATGAAAATGCATGATATTTTTCATCAGCATGATTGAAATAAGCAGGATAGAATATTGTTGAAAGAAAATTTTGCTAAAAAATCGAGAAGTGATGAAAAGAAAAGTTATATTTGATCCCTTTAAATTTCAAAACTAATTCCATTTGCAAAAAAAAAAGACAATTAAACTTTTTCTTTTACCTGACGAAAAAAAGAAAACCTAAAATAATTCTTCCGGACATATTTCTTCAATGCAAAAAGGAAAAAAATGCTGCTCATAAAATTTTGAAATTTCGAGAAGATTTATCAACAAAAAAAGTTTAATATTTACAGCTATTAGCAAAACTTTTCAATATTTGCAGACATAACTTTCATAAAGATGAATTTCAAAAAAAAAAAAAGAAAAAGAAAAGTGCTGTTAACGAGCTTTTT